TGATCAAAAGAGAATCAAAAATTTAATAATTTCATTTTCCAAATAACGATTATATTAAATAGGTAGCATTTGAGGAGTGCGGAATATAAAAATAATGACGACAAAAAAATATATAACTAAAGCAGACAGACTTGGTAAATAAACTTACCATGACTGACTCTTCTAGAGGTCTCTGCACTCCGGGTTCCGCCGACAAGAAATGGCGGACTCCTTGATCGCATCAAATGGGTAAAACTTTGATGCCCATCCCCGCTTGTAGCTCCTAGAATATTTCTAATCATTCTACCATCCTTGCTATCGATTTGACTTTCAGCTTGCCAACCTGCGCTACTGGCTGCAAAATTAGCCTCACTCAGATATGCATCAAGACTCCATCGTCGATTTGACTCTTCTTGTCCATTATTCATTTCCTAGAGGATAGTAATATTAACATTAGTTAGGCACGACGTGCTAATCTATTTATTAAAGTAATTTATTTAAACAAATAAGTTGGGAAAAACTAAGATATTTAATTCGTGCTTATGTGATCCATAGCTAACGACTGGATAAGAGAAATAAAATGCACCTATCAAGCCCAACGAAACATCGAGGTTGCCATAACTTCAGTTAGGGTATAAATAATACTTAATGAAATAAGCCTATCAGCTTAAACTGTACATTCCAATAAGAAGAATGGATTGAAATAACCACATGAGAGTAAAGAATTAGGCCTATTCAGCAAGATCATGGCAAGTGAACAAGATTAAAATATTATCGTTAAAAAAATATGATGTGACGCCAAGAGATAATATCAGAATTTCCTATACTTATGAGGGTTGAGAACAAGATATCAAAGTAAGATATACCAATTGGCAGAAAAAACGCATGGACTAAGAATCAAGCACATAAAAAGAAAATCATCATACGATCCCGGCTATTTGATAGCGTCTAAGTCGTAATCTGGCCTGTCTGTCTGCTTGTTCACGGGATGCAGCAGCAGAAGCAGCAGCCGGATCTACCACATAATGCGCGTGTGTCTGTAGGAAGTTGATGTAAGCATTCCTAAACAAGGAAAATAAAAAATATCCGAAAAAAGTAAAATAAACTGCTAAGATTAAACTTAAATATCATAAGAAAAAAATAAAAAAATGCCTTATTTGCAAAATAATAGCAAAAACATGATGGTTGGGTAGATAATAAATCCTAAACTAATATATTTATAAGAGGCCCCTAAGGATAACACTTAATTACACGGCATTGAATGACACGATCAGAATTCAAGGATGTTCATTATATATTAAGTTTCATCAACAATATATTATTAATAGAAAAAATAAAGTGAACTAAGATTATGTAATGAAATAAAAGATAGCAAGAGTATACTTAAGTGATTGTAGCCATATAATTAAGGGCAAGCTGAATTCTTGATATACTGGAGAATTGGTCTGCCCAATAAGGAGAGTCCGGTTTATAAATTATTTTTTTATTGAAGTTGTTTAACCTTGTTTTCGCAACTTGATCATATTAGTAAGAAGACTTAGAGGAACGCACCAAGTTCGGAAGTGGTACCACGTCCACGGTCCGACTTTAGAAATGATCATTTATACAATGGACTCCAGACTGGGTGCGTTCCTTTTAGTCTTCCTATCAATATGACCACGTTGCGAAAATAAGGTCAAACAACTTCTATAAACGAAAGAAGACAGCGACCACACAAAAAGCCACACCATCTTGGTCTTCATATTTTTTATTGTAGTTCCAAATAGCAGACTTAACACAATGTTTATAAAAGCGTCAAAAGAATCTAGTCTATTATGCTACATATTTCACACACAAGTGGCTAGCCTCATAATGTAAATAATCTAACCGTGATGAAAACCATTCAGGGTTGCCATGGTACTCTTATCTAAAATTAGGCCTATCACTAAGTAGAGATATGGAAAAAGGGAAAATAACAGATACAGCTAAAAAAGATTAATTGCACCAATCTCCGTTTAATCTGTTATCATTATCATGCATACAATAACTTGTTGTATAAGGAGAAAGCATGCCAGGTGAGTGGAAAATAAGCGCAAAACACTTCGCGAGTATTGGATTTCTTTAGGACAAAAATTAAATGAATCACTTCAAGTAATAACAAGACAAAATAACAAGGTTACAAGGATCGCCAGTAAACTCAGATTTCAGTTGTTGTGTGGTGCTAAGAATGGCGATACTCACTGACAATGCCGACTACGATGCCGGCGAAACGTCTGGGAATGTACCACGTCCACGGTTCGACTTTGTAAATGATCATGCAGACAATAAACCCCGGACGAGGTGCGTTCCAATAAGACTTCCAACCAATATGACCATGTTGCGAAAACAAGGTCAAACAACCTATATACAACGAAAGGAGACTGCGACCACACAAAAGGCCACACCATCTTGGTCTTCATACGTACGATCAGATATCTTCATTTCAAAAAGGCCGAATAAACAATTATGCTTGTTAAGTGTTTGCTTTATTACATATTTTCCTAAAACCATCTGTCACACCACTCAGTTTGAATGTAAAAAGGGAAGTTGTCGTTAATTAAATGGTCCTAGCCAAGAGAACGTTAAGACATTCATCGTTTGAAATTCTCGAGCTTCGAAAAAATGTATCAATAAAGCTCGATATACCTCGCGTTATTGAAGTTAAAATCAAGAAATAGCAATACATATTTCAAACTAAAAGATTTTATAGGTTGTTTGATCTTATTTTCACAACTTAGTCATATTGGTAGGAAGACTTAAAGGAACACACCTAATCCGGAGACCATTAGATGAATGATCATTTCATAAGTCGGACCGTGGACGTGGTATATTCCCAGAAGTTTCGCCGGCCTCGTCAGTGAGTCTTGCCATTCTTAGCACCACAGAACAACTCGTCAGAGATAAGTGAAACCGATCATTTGACCAAACGTGCTAAACAGTTGTGGTATCTCCCCTTCTGCCCTTAGCTATTCACATTTCCTATATTCTTCGAACGCAACTTCATTGTTACAATTTTTCGTGATTATTTCAATGTAATGTGGTGTGCTCCTTTGAGCAGAATTCATAACTCTTTACACTTCACGCTGTCGTTCTCACCCCTTCACCCTTATGCTGAAATGTTAATCAGTCTGCCACAATGCTACGCAGTCCTCCTTCCCTAGGTCTTATCACAGTCTCTGTCTTGCCCTGTAAGATCCGTCTGCTCTAGTTCACGTATTTCATTTGACCTCTGCCACTCCATCTGTGCTACTCGAGGCGTTAGTTTCCACACTCTGCGTCTGGGTGAATGATTCAAGGCTAAAGCCTCTGAGTACGTCTCATCGTCAAGCCTTTGCTACATGGACCACGTCTATGGTAAAACCTACTGTCAGCCAACTAGCTCTAGTCTCCGCCGCGTCTATCCTACTTCTATTCCTAGTACCAAGCTTATGAATTCCTATACCCTAGTCTTTAGTGTGCCAACCTACAAATGTGGTACTTTTTTCCTTGATTATGATAAAGATGAACCACAATGTTTGTGGGATGGTACACAAGAGACTAGGGCATGGGAATAGCCCTAGGCAGAAGATGAGATACCACAAATGTCTAGCACACGTTTGGTCAAAGGATCAGTTTCACTTGTCTCTTTTGACGAGTTGTTGTGTAGTGCTAGGAATGGCGAGACACACTGACGATACCAACTACGATGCCGGTGAAATGTCTGGGAATGTACCACGACCACGGTCTGACTTTGGAAATGATTATGCATACAATGGACTCCGGACTAGGTGTGTTCCTCTAAGTCTTTCTACCAATATGATTAAGTTGCGAAAACAAGATCAAACAACCTCTATACAACGAAAGGAGACTGCGACCACACAAAAGGCAACGCCATCTTGGTCTTCATATCTTCAAAAAGATTTTAGTCTCTATTATAAATTATGTTATAAAAATATTAACTAATAGCAACTCGGTCTTCCGTAGGCGTGGTAAGCAAGATCAGTATGCATGTGGCCTGCTTTAGCTTTATTATCTAAGACACTAATTATAAAAAACGTAATTAAAAAGGGTAAATTCAAGCGAAATCATATTCGCAAAATTGGAACATAACGGTAATAAAACAATAGAAGAATCAACTTGTACCAAGCAGGAATATGTCCTTCATGGAGAAAAATGCTTTTGTAAGCGCGGAAATCGGCTATGACCAAACTTGGTCCGAGGGAACAAAGACGCCCGGCAATGAAATCCAAATCAAGCAAAAGAGCGATCAAACCAGCACGCCGATCAGCAAGTCTAAGATGCTCAAGACAGTTGCGCCAAAAATAAGTGTGAATATCTCCTTTGCAATTAAGGCTTCTCCAGCGCCAGTTACAATAGTAGGCATAAGCATCGACGAACTCGGCATGATATTGCTATATACATGGAAATATAATTGAAAATAACTATTCAGACATTAAATTTAGCAATAACACAGATGGAAGTATATGCAAAGTGATTCTAACAGATAAAGTGTGGTTGCCATCTGCTGTGCGTTTCGGGAAATCAAAAAACAGATGATACGTTAGAAAAAATGAAAAAAAAATAAAAATTAGTATTCGATAGATAATCCTAGCTCTTAAAGATAAAGGAGGTAGAACTAGAAATTATTCTAAATTTTCCTCAAGCTGAACCAAATAAAAATTTAAACATATAATGATAAAATCCAGTTGCGAAATTCAGGAATTCAATTTTATTGGACTGACTTTCATTTTGCATTAAGGCATATGATAAAATAATTAGTTGCATATTAGTATATATTACTTCCCTTTGATGCGTTTTTGTTCGATTTTAGTGGCGCCAAAGTCGATACAGCCTTTGAAGGTCCTCAAATCAGCCATGAAAACCAACAGATTGAATCTATCTGCAAGCGTAAAGACTTATTTGGATCAATGTAGTTTCCATATTTGTGAACGAACGAAAATGAGAGTAAGACTAACAGCAGTCTGTCATACCTCAACAAGTAGTTAATCCGATTTTAATCAAGAAAAAATAACACAAGAAAAACATCAGAAGGAATAGGCAAATATCAAAAATCAAAACCAGAGCATCTGCCAGTATAATATATTGAGGAAGAATGACGATAAAATACGATCTAGAGAGAAATAAGGTAGACAAACAATATGTAATCAGAATATTAATCGAAACCCAATTTCTCTTCAAATATACACCTCTCGATCGATCTGTGGACTCATTCGCTTAAAGTAATCCAAATTACTGTGCCGATATACTTATTAGAAATCACTAAGGCGTGTTGTGCTGAATACCCGATTTAATTAGCGCCAAATGATAGGCAAGTGACATCTTGATTATTAGGGATGGAGATAACAAGAACAAGACGATACGAATTGAGGAAGAAGTTTAAACTTTTACTAGATTATACCGGAAATAAATCTGGCAACTGATGAGACATGCTCCTTCCTTCGTAATTTTTCGAGAAACATAACTTTAAAGGAAGCCGTTTGCAAGTAACCCCGTGTCTGAGGGGCATGAGAAGACATAATGGGTCACCCTTCATTCGTGTTACCAGAAAAGTCAAATTTTACGACATTTGTCCATGATACATAATCACAGGCAAAATGTCGCTAATGAAGCAGTCTAACCCACTTACCTTAAGTAGGGCCAGAATAAGTTCTGATATACATTCAATAAAACAACTGTAATGACTCGTGAGTGGCACATTTACAGCAGTGAAATTAAATCGCCGATCATATTCATATATTGAGCAGACTTTCAAAACTACTAGTGGAATTTCAATAAGAGCTTTCTTTCGAAGACTTACTGAACACGAAGATATATGTAGTCGATTGTAATAGCAAATATAGATTTCCATTATCAACAATACCACTAAGAAATGTGAAATCGTTAAGGCCTGACCCTGTTTTAAATTCATGTCCACTCTCTGCCTCAGGAAACTCTTAGCATTGTGGCGTGATTTTAATGTGCAAAAACAATATGCTGCAATAAGCGGAATCGAGTAATGCTGTTAGTGCTGATGAAATTTAGGCGATGTTGACATAAGACTTGAATAAATATTAGAGTAAGCCTTCACTAGGCTGTTCTATATAATTTTGAGCCTATTTGCAGAGGTTATAATCAATATATTTTTAGGAATTTAAAAAGTACAGGTGTGCATGAGATTAAATAATGACAGATCACATCAAAGCCTAATAACTGTGGAAATTTACATGCTATGAAAAATACTGTCTATGAAATGAATATAGAACTTGCTGCAAATCCAAGAAGGACTTCAGAAGATAACGAATTTTCAATGTTGAAAGAAAACTATTAAAACTGCTAAAGCAAAAATTAGGAATTTCAGAGGGTATCATTAAGCTGTGTTACTAATTAAATAGTGAGCTATCCCAGAATCTGGGCCGCCCAGTCAGCAAATGGTTAGTTTTTCAAAAGGCCACAGAGATTTATGCTGGTTTTAGGAAAATGCAGCTATATGGATAATTATTTTTTCGTATATGAGTAGTTTCGAGACTACTAGTAAATCAGCTATATGAGATGTATTCACCCTATTTCGTTTAACATGATGAAGGATTGGTAGCTGAATTTTCTCAAGCTGATGTTTCCATTGAATTTTACACAGCCTTGCTTTCATCCAGGATGGACTGCAGTTTCGACCTCTCATAGGTATTATCAACATCCCTAGCGGGAGTCGAACCATGATAGTGCAGTGAGCTTGACATGTTAACAACTCGGCCACATTGACACCAATGCCCTTGAGTTTATAGGGCAGATGTGAATTTCAAAGAACACCAAGCCTTTTCCCATATCAGATGGAAAACGAGTAGTTAGCGTGTCTAGCTTCCATCCTGAACTGTCGCGGTTCGACTCCCGCTGAGGGTGTTAATAAGACCTATGCAAGGTCAAAACTTCAGTCCACCCTGAATGAGAACAACTTTTTGGAAAGCAAGGCTCTCTGAAATTCAATGGAAACGTCAGCTCAACTCATATAATTGTGGAAAAGTTCTACTACCAGTCCTTCAACACCTTAAACTAAATAAGGTGAATAAATCTCATAGAAAAAGATAATTATTCTCGAAATAAGTAGCTTTCGAGACAGTCAGTTACTAAATAATTTCCTAAATCCGAGCCAATGGACGAAGTACGGTCGAAGACCAAATGGCAAGAAATGGAAACTTGCATGAAATGCAAATCCACAAACCACTTGGATGTATACATAAAGTAGATACCCACCGAAATGAGATTAGAAGCGCCAAGAGACAGCAAAGTATGGGAATAAAATGATAGCAAAAAGGTCAATTAAACAAAATTTGCTTGAAAGCAAGCAGGCCTAATGATCGTGACAAAAACAAAGCCAAATAAACGTCAGGTATAGGCATATTTACAGGCCCAATGTTGTAGAAAACATTTTAAAATTATAAGAGTGCGATTGCGTAGGATTTAATTAAAAGTTTCTCCATATGGGTTACCAAAGGCATAGGGAAGACAATGAGAACTAGAGCCTTAAGCAAAACGCATACTGTGATTGGAACCGAGTAGAATTAGTCAACCAATAAGATAAGAAACGGATTTTTAGGAAGATTAGGATGGGAGATCGGATCAGCAATTCCGGCAAATCGAGATAGAGGGAGGAGCAAGGTAAACAAACAGACTTGACAGCCTCAGTGAGCCGCCAAAAAGGTCATATCTCTAGAGTAGAATATAAAGAAGTAAGAGGTTAGGATAGAGTGAATGAGTTGGTAGAACAGAAAGTATGTCAATGTACAATCACAAAAGTGATAGGACAATCGTTCACCCAAAAATTGATTCGGTTTCTCTCTGGCGTGTTGTAACTTTGTCATAAACTGGTAAAACTCGCATAGGATAAGGGCGAAACACCTGGAAATTTACAAAATCCATGGTCAGACGTTGATCATTATCATAACTACTATAGAAGAGGATTTCAGGAAAGGTTCGAAGTCAAAACTACAGTCCATCCTGGATGAGAACAACTTTTTGTAAAACAAGGCTGTGAAATGCAATGGAAGCTCTACTCATATCACTGTAGGGAAATTCAACCATCAGTCCTTCATCACATTAAACGAAACAGGGTGAATACGTCGGATAACTGAAAATAAAGCTGTTTCAACCTATAATTTAGAAAATAAAAGGAGTGTGGAGTGAAATATGAGCTGCAACAATAATTAAAATGCAACAAATATTCGTCATAAACTGCTGACTAGTAATGAAGGACATAAAAATGGACATAGGCCAAGAACAAAGAAGGCCAGAACGACAGTGCTAAAAACTACATAATTGATATTGTTGACCAGTGTTAAGGGCAAGAAAAGTACATGAGACTAAAATTAAAGTACTCGTAAGAACCCAACTAGAGAGCAAGACGAATAGTGAAAAGGAAAACACGACAAAAGAAAATACATACTATCATACGCCCTTGCGAAAAAATAATAGTCCAAATAAATAGATACACTTTAAAATCTGCATCGGTGTGGATAAACGCCGTCGATAAATTTGGCCATGTCAAGGAGTAGTTTATGCGTAAACAACGAGGAAATTTCGCAAGATTGAATAAAATATTCATTAAATTATTCGAGTTCATACCATATACATTAAAAGACAATGCGTAAAATAAACTTTAAAAGTTTGATTAGAAGTGCATCTGTGGAATTCACGACAATCCTGTATGAAGACAAATTGAAATAGTAAATGTTTCGAATAATTAGAGAATAATGGATATTAATATTCTTCATCACCATGCTGGCTT